CAGTTCTTTTATATTGTTGGTTGACAGTACTCTCTCCAAACAATCAATACAAAGATGAATTTTATTTTATTTTATTTTATTTTAAATGTATTTTATTGATTTTTTACAGAGAGAAAGGGAGAAGGATAGAGACCTAGAAACATCGATCAGCTGCCTCCTGTACACCTCCCACTGGGGATGTGCCCACAACCAAGGTACATGCCCTTGACCGGAATCGAACCTGGGACCCTTCAGTCTGCAGGCCAACGCTCTATCCACTGAGCCAAACCGGTTAGGGCCAAAGATGAATTTTAAAGCCAGCCTCAATGCTCTCTGTCCCCTGAAGCCAGCATCTGGAATGGCCCAACCTCTTGCCCTCTTCCAGTTCTGGAGGCCACCGATCCCTTCCTAGTTAGATGCACTTTGGCAGTGGTTCTCAACCTCCCTAATGCTGCGACCCTTTAATACAGTTCCTCATGTTGTGGTGACCCCCAACCATAAAATTATTTTTGTTGCTACTTCATAACTGTAATTTTGCTACTGTTATGAATCGTAATGTAAATATCTGATATGCAGGATGTATTTTCATTGTTACAAATTGAACAAAATTAAGGCATACTGAATCACAGGATTTGATTTGCAACCAGCCTGTCTTAACAGAGTGGTCCTTTGGAGATAGCAGGAGCTAGAGCAGAGGTTCTCAACCTGTGGGTTGCGACCCCTTTGGAGGTCGAAAGACCCTTTCACAGGGGTCGCCTAAGACCATCCTGCATATCAGATATTTACATTATGATTCATAACAGTAGCAACATTACAGTTATGAAGTAGCAACGAAAATAACTTTATGGTTGGGTCACAACATGAGGAACTGTATTTAAAGGGCCAAAAGGTGGAGAACCATTGAGCTACAGTTATGCTGTCCAATATAGTAACCACTGACTAGCCTCATGTGATTTAAATTAAAATTAAATAAAATTAAAATTCCTCATTTACACTAATCACATCTTAAGTGTCTAAGAGCTGCATGTAGCTGGTGCCTACCGCATTTGATGGCACAAGTACAGACATTTCTATGGCTGCTGAACAGTTCTTTTGGATATTGTTGGTTGACAGTACTCTCTCCAAACAATCAATACAAAGATGAATTTTATTTTATTTTATTTTATTTTAAATGTATTTTATTGATTTTGTACAGAGAGAAAGGGAGAAGGATAGAGACCTAGAAACATCGATCAGCTGCCTCCTGTACACCTCCCACTGGGGATGTGCCCGCAACCCAGGTACATGCCCTTGACCGGAATCAAACCTGGGACCTTTGAGTCCGCAGGCCGACGCTCCATCCACTGAAGGCCACTAGGCAGCTTCACAGCTCCAACATCTGAATCAGGCGGTAAGCATGCATCAGAATCACTGCTTCAGCCCAGGGTTTCTAATCCAACAGACTGGGGTGGGTCTAGAGTTTCGTCTTACAAGTTCCCAGGTGATGCCTATGCTGCTCGTCCAGGAACCACACACAGACCTCTGCACCAAGGCAGTGAAGACAGGCTGGATAACTGTCCCATGAAGGAGTCTGCCAAACGCTATTTCTGGCGTTAGAAGGAGTTAGACTGAAGATATAACTTGTTAACATGAGTTTCGCCCTATTTTCGTTGCTACTTCATAACTGTAATTTTGCTACTGTTAGGAATCGTAATGTAAATATCTGATATGCAGGATGTATTTTCATTGTTACAAATTGAAAATAATTAAAGCATAGTGATTAATGGCTTCATGGCACTCAGTATTACTAACTATGGATTTCACTCACTGTCTCAGGAAGCAAGTTGGAAAGAATTCCTTCATAATAATTTTATTTAAAAGCAAAATGAGTCCTAGCTGGTTTGGCTCAGTGGATAGAGCGTCAGCCTGTGGACTGAAGGGTCCTGGGATCGATTCCAGTCAAGGGCACATGCCCAGGTTGCCGGCTCTCTTCCCAGTACGGGGCGTGTAGAAGGCAGCTGATCAATGATTCTCTCTCATCATTGATGTTTCTATCTCTCCCTCTCCCTCTCTGAAATCAATAAAAATATATTTAAAAATAAATAAATAAAAATAAAAGCAAAATGATAAACAAAACAACTTTGAAAAATCATCCTGTGCTACCTCTACTTCTCAACAATGTCTAACCAAGGCAGGGGAAGGCCTACGTAACAGAGTAAAACATGTTTACTGATTCTTTTAAAAGACTATTTCAAACTAACTACAAAGCTAAAGTCAGGAAGACAGTGTAGTACTGGCAGAAGGATAAACGTACAAATAATTGGAACAGAATTGAAAGTCCAGAAATAAACCCTTACATTTATGGACAACTGATTTTTTAAAAATATATAAATTTTTATTGATTTCAGAGAGGAAGAGAGAGACAGAAACATCAATGATGAGACAGAATCACTGGGGATCGAGTCCACAACCTGGGCAAGTGCCCTGATGGGGAATCAAACCAGGATCTGGTTCACAGGCTGACACTTAATCAGTGAGCAACAATCCCTGGACAGATTTCATTCTTCTTTTTTGGCTGAGTAATATGGCATTGTGTATATGTGCCACATCTTCTTTATCCAATCATCTATTGATGGACACTTATGTTGCTTCCAAATCTTGGCTATTGTTGAAATGCTGCAATGAACACAGGGGTGCATATTATCTTTTTGAATTACCGTTTTGGATTTTTTTGGATATATATTCAGAAGTGGGATTGCTGGGTGATATGGTAGTTCTATTTTTAATTTTTTGAGGAACCTTCATACCATTTTCCATAGTGGCTGCACCAATTCAAAATAGTATACATGGAGTTACCATATAATCCAACAATTCCAGTCCTAGGTATATACCAAGAGAAGGAAAAAGATGATTCCACATAAAAATGTGTTCACAGCTGTTCATAGCAACATTATTCACAATAGCCAAAAAGTATAAATAACCCAATGCCCATCAACTGAAGAGTGGATAAGCAAAATGTGGTATATCCATAGAGTGAAATATTATTTGGCAATAAAAAGGAAAGAATTACTAATACTAGTACATGCTACAACACTGATGAATCTTGAAAATGTTAGGTTAAAAAAAAAGCCAGCCACAAAAGACCACATATTGTACAATTCTATTCAGGAATTTGCATGTCATCCTTGTGTGGGGGTCATGTTAATCTTCTTGGTACAAATCTATTTATATAAAATGTCTAGAACAGGTAAACCATAGAATAGGTAAACTTATAGGGATAGAAAGTAGATTACTGACTTCCTAGGGCCTGGAGCAGGTGGAGAGAGGTAAGTGGGAAGGAAATGCTAAGGAGTATTGTGTTTCTTTTTGGGGTGATGTAATACTCTAAAATTGATTGTGGTGATGGTTGCACAACTCTGCATCCCAGATAATGTAAATACTAAAAATTATATATTTAAGAGGGTGAATTGTATAGTAGGTAAATTATATTTCAATACAGCTGTTTTTGTTTTTTTAAGTAGAATTGTTGGAAAGGAACTCATGTATTTCTTAAGAGGAGTTGGTTTTGATCTTCAAAGCAAGAGTTTAATTTAATTTAATTTCCATGACTTAAATTAAAAAGATACCTAGTATTTTACAAGGGGAAGCACAAGAAAAAAAAGAGAGAGCAAATTAGATAGCAAAATCTCTTAACTGAGAAATACATAAAATGTGCTTAGTCTTGTAGAAATGGTTCTTTATAAAGAACTAAGGCATACATAGGTTCACAACACTCTGCATGAGCCAGAAGAAAAGGTAAAGAAAATCTGCCATTATTTGAGTTTTAACATTTACATATTAAAGGTCTATATTTTTTTAAAATATATTTTATTGATTTTTTACAGAGAGGAAGGGAGAGAGATAGAGAGTTAGAAACATCGATGAGAGAGAAACATCGATCAGCTGCCTCCTGCACATCTCCCACTGGGGATGTGCCCGCAACCCAGGTACATGCCCTTGACCGGAATAGAACCTGGGACCTTTCAGTCCGCAAGCCAACGCTCTATCCACTGAGCCAAACCGGTTTCGGCTTAAAGGTTTATATTAACACATGTTCTTGATATAGAACCAATTCTGGGAAATGGCCTGGGGACGAAAACCCTGTTTTAGTCATTAGACTTACCACTCGGCTGAAGTACTCATCTAAAACTTCCACAAAGTTATGGATGAATTCATAAATTGCCATCTCATTCTGAAATAAAAAAGGAAGGATGCACTCAGTTTTAGTGTGGCCCATGTGTGACTCAGACAGGGAGCTGCCCCAGCACACATGGCCTGGTATACAGATGTGAGCAAGGTAGCTTCCATGGACAACTGTTCAGAATAGTTTTATAACTCACTCGTTTAAAAGAAGTTTATTAAGAGGAGAAATGTAGAAAACCATAACCGCTAAGGTTTTTTTAATGTCCATAATGAATCTAGCTGGACTGAAACTGGACCGAGTCTAGTGCAGAATTCTGAGCTCTACTCCCTGACTTCACCACCAACTGGCTGAAGCAATTTTTCAGTTTCTTCATCCATCACTTTTCCACTTGTGAATATGCGGAAACTACCTCAAAGTTTTGTTCACAGAAAAAAACTGAGATTTCAAAGTATTTTAGATCACACCCCTTTCAGAGAGTCCATGGCCAAAGGTGCTGTTGATTGGGCCTGACATTTCTGAAAAGGTGAACTTAAATCTGAGGAGACATCATCACAACAGAATCATATTCACAGTTTGCTGTGGCCTCTGACATGCCAGCCTATGTTTAATGCCACAACAGCTTGGCCATGACACTGGTCTAAACTGCCCCACTGTGCACCACGGGACAAGGGCAGGACACCAGTATTGCTTTGGGTCGAGGAAGGCCCTCTGTGGCTTTGTGCTTCTCTACAAGCTGCTCATTTACTAGTAATCCAATAAAAATCCAAGGTATTTCTCTTCCACACAGCTTTCCCTAGCCCTGAGAGAAACCAAAATCCTGCAAAGAGCCAAGGTAATTCTTAGAGAGGCAAGTAGGGAAGAAAATGTCAATGAGAGGAGGAGTAAAAATCAGACTGTTAGGCCTGGCTTCCTGGCATCTTCCACAGGCTCTTCTGTTATCTTACCTCGGTGTCATTAACTCCAACCACGATGAAGAGAGCTGCGTACTGCCGATATATCAGCTTAAAATCCTTATATTCAACGAAAGAGCACTAGACAAAACACAATTACATATTAATTCCTAAGGTTGAAATGGATTTCCTCAAAATGGCTTGCATAATTTTTAGCTTCTGATTTGAGTACCTGTCAACACATTCTTAGAAATGCACATTAAAACGTTACACGCCTTTGCTGGTCTCTCCTCACAACACTGAGGGGATGACTTAGAAGCATCTCTAGTGGGAGGTGACGAAGTGGTCTTGGAACAAGGGCTCAGTGTTCCCACGGGTTCCCACCTGTTCTCCTTACCATTCCTTAGTGGGCTCTGTGTGGAACTCAGCAGGCAAAACTACTGAATACTCAGCATTTTACACTGTCTGCCATGTGAAATAACCCAACACAATAAAGATTTTCTTCTTTTCAACTCCCCTAGGTTTTTTTGGGAAATAAAGATTCAGTTTTGTACTATTTAACCGTCACTGAAGAACCAAATATATGTAGCAGACACCCAAGCCAAAAATAAATAAAGAAATAAAATCTCTATTTCTTTTTCCTATCTCCATAGAATCAATGTAGACTCTTTTATAAATCATTTAAAGATGGCTTTTGAGACCTAGCTGGTTTGGGTCAGTGGATAGAGCGTCGACCGTCGGACTGAAGGGTCCCTGGTTCGATTCTGGTCAGGAGTACGTGTCTGGGTTGCAGGCTCGATCCCCCAGTAGGAGATGTTCAGGAGGCAGCTGATCAATGGTTATCTCTCATCATTGATGTTTCTATCTCTCTCTCTCTCCCTTGCTCTCTGAAATCAATAAAAATATATTTTAAAAAATAAAGAAAATATAAAGATGGTTTTTGTGTGGCAAATGCTAGATAAATCTTTCATTGTAAACATTGCCTCATACGAATTCATGACTAGCTTACCATCACTGACTTGTGGATAAAACAACTCCCTGCCCATTTATTTCTCTCCTACCGTCACTGTACAAAGGATAATGGGATGGCACTGGGTGGACAGGAACTGGGGAGCCCACTGATAGCACAGTGCTGCCCTTCCCTTGGACTCTGGGTGTGCTTGCCCAAACGTGAGTGAGCATACGGCTTTTTGCACTGAAGATGTTGCTCTTGGCTGCCCGGATGCACCTGAGAATGAAGTTGCACATTTTCATCAGGGAATTTCTTCCATGGAAGCCACCTGACAAATTATAAAATGGAGGAGGTAAGGCTTTTATTTAAAATTAGGATAAAGGTAATAAGTGCAGGACCTCTGCAGCCTTTGGCTAACTGTAGAGCCAGCGTGGTTTGTACTCAGTTGGATCTTTCAAGGAAACACAACCTATTTGAATGAACTGAGGAACATTTTCAAAGCTTCTCAGAAGTTTTTGACATTAAAAAGAAGTATCAAGCGCCCAACTGGTGTGGCTCAGTGGTTCAGCGTCAACCTATGAATCAGGAGGTCACAGTTCAATTCCTGGGTCAGGTCACATGTCTGGGTTGCAGGCTCGATCCCCAATAGGGGGCATTCAGGAGGCAGATGATCAATGATTCTTTCTCATCACTGATGTTTCTTTCTCTCTTTCTCTTCCTCCCACTCTGAAATCAATAAAAAATATATGTATTTTTTAAAAGTAGCAAAGCACTTTGAGGATAAAATATAAACTAAGCTGAGATTGTGCCTGATTATGACAAAACACCAGTGGATTCTTATTAAAGTCTAAAATAATTTAGAGTGCTTCAAAAATATCTAAAAGTATATTTCAAAAGCACATATTTAACAAGAATAACCTTGCAGTGAAAGGGGTGTTTGAAATTATGGAGTTGAAATTATAGGAAGATTCAAGCATGAGTGCTTCTGGAGTGTGCCTACCTTTACTTAAATTATGTGGCTATTAACAAAGTCCTTTAATAGTTCCTGTTTCCTTTGACAACTAGGCAAAGCAGTGTGCACCATGGCAGGGCAAAGTAGTAATACAAAGAAAACTCTTGAGATGTTCCAAATGGAAAATCAATTTAAAAGACAAGGGAAACACAGCTCCAACGCATTAACTTCTGAAGCACTGATGTAGCTTAATATTTATGACTTAGCAGTGGTTCCCACAGCCAGCCTTTCTACCTAGGCAGTGAAATGGAGAACTGGCAAAATGAATGGGTGTTTTAAACAAGCTTTCTGATTTTGCCTCAGTTTGTTCAGTGATTTCCAATAGATTGAAAGTTTAGGACTTGGATTAAATAATTATTCCAATCAAAGTTCTTTGTAAAGGTAAATTCAGTTTTAAAAAATTCCCATGTTAAAATTAATGATTTTTTTAAAATTTCTTTATTGGTTAAGGTATTACAAATGTGTCCTCATTTCCCATTAACCCCCAACCACCCCGCCCGCCCCCCCACTCATGCTCTCATCCCCCTGTTGTCCGTGTCCATTGGTTTGGCTTATATGCATGCATACAAGTCCTTTGCTCACTTATTTTTTAAACTAGAGGCCCGGTGCACAAATTCATGCACCAGTGGGGTCCTTCCGCCTGGCCTGCAGGATCAGGCCACAACCAGCTCTCC